AAAAGGAAAACTAAAAGATATAGAAAGAATATCTATTCTACTTATCTATCTTCCCTATCTTTGCAGCCCCCCCCCCACACACACAAATAATAATAAAGATAAATAAAAATAAAATAAAAGGAAAACTAAAAGATATAGAAAGAATATCTATCTACTTATCTATCTATCCTTGTCTTTGCAGCCCCCCCCCCCACACACACAAATAATAAAAAAGCTAAATAAAAAATAAAATAAAAGGAAAACTAAAAGATATAGAAAGAATATCTATCTACTTATCTATCTATCCTTGCCTTTGCAGCCCCCCCCCCCCCACACACACACAAATAATCAAAAAGCTAAATAAAGATAAAAGGAAAACTAACAGATATAGAAAGAATATCTATCTATCTACTTATCTATTCATTTATCTATCTATCTATCCTTGTCTTTGCAGCCCACACACACACACACAAATAATAATAATAAAAGCAAAAATAAAAGATAAAGAATATTGATCTATTTACTTATCTATCTATTAACTTACCTATCTATCCTTGTCTTTGCAGCCCACGACCTACCTGCTGAGAAGACCCGTCCACGAAGACCTCCTTTCGGTCCGCCCACATCCCTACGAAGCCACGCCCCTTTCGCCGCCCGTGCCTCTGCGTGCCATCTACGCCCATAGGATTCCTTGGGCGTGGTATTCTCCGCCCCCGCCCTCGTTCTACTTTGGGCTGGCGGGCGGCTTTTACTGAATCTGATCTTTGTTTATTTTCCATTTGTTTTTTATATTATTATTATTATTTTACTGTCTGTTTTCATTTTATTTTATTTATTTTTTACTTTTACTGTCTTATGAGTATTTTTATCTTTTTTCTATTTGTTACTGTATCTTATTTTCATTTTATCTTTCTTTTATTTTATTTTTTATTTTATTTTTATTTTTTGTACTGATCTCATTTCCAATTTATTGCTATTTATTTTATTTATTTATTTATTTTTTTTTTACTTCTCAGTTTTTTTATGTTTTTATTATTTATATCTTCCTTTTTATTCCACGGCGGTTATTTATTCTACATTTGGATTAATTTTTTCTTTAATTCATCCATATATATATTTTTTTTTCTTTAAAGGCCTAGCGTGTTTAAATATTCTTCTATGTTATTTTTAGCTTTTTGTGACACCTTTTTCTAACTTTTTTGTAGTGTGAAGAAATTGTGATTTTTCGTAATAACTAACAAGTAATACTCTATTCCTTGTTGAAGTTTATAACAATCTTTATGACATTCTAAAGTTTTCATAATTCCACTTTCACAATTGTCAACTTTAATAACATTTCATAAGCAACTTTCGTTAAAAAATAAAAAGATAAAAAAAAAATATATATATATATAGACATATATATGTATATATGTATAATAAAATTAAAATATTAATCTAGTTTGAGGTCGTTATAGCACACTAAGACGACCATTAATGACCTTAAACTACCGAACGACTTTAAGGATGATGACCATACGACTGTTAGGGGTTTTAGAAGAATAAACAAATAATTGACATCTATATCTACCTATTTTATTCATTTATTCATCTATGCTAATAATAACAATAATAATGAGTTTCATTATTATTATTATTACTATTATTATTTCTTTATCATTATTATCAATGCTATTATTTCTAAAATTTTTACTAACATTGATTATTACTACTTCATTATTATTATCACTATTATCATTTCTATCGCTATAATATCATAATAACAATAATTTTGATACATTCATTTTGGCGTTTGCTCTGTCAGATTTAAGAGGCTGTGTGGACAGTAAATCTGGATGTATTGTACTTGCGCACATCCGTGTGTAGTTTATCATTTGTATGCCCACACTTACATGCGCGCGCGCCGTGTGTGGTGTTATGTATGTATATGTATGTATGTTATGTGTGATGTATAAATATGCATGTATATATATATATATATAATATATATATATATATATATATATTATATATATATATATATATCACACACACACACACACACACACACCACACACACAGACACACACATGCATACATACATACATCACGATACATACAAACACACACACACACACGTAATTTTGACTGTGTGTTATCTTATGCATGTTCTTGTCGACACTTCGCTGAAATATAGAACCACAAATACTGTATTTTATTTGAATTCACAAGATGCACTTCTTCACTTCCCGCAAGAAATAAAAGTTCTACGAATTATCTTTCTTTGATTCTATTCCCTCTTTACCCCTCCTTTTGCTTTTCTATTATATATATATATATATATATATATATATATATATATATATATATATATATTTAATATATGATATATATTATATATATATTATATATATATATATATATATATATATATATAGAGAGGAGAGAGAGAGAGAGAGGAGAGAGAGAAATGTGTTATATATATATATATATATATATATATATATATATATATATATATATATATATATATATATATGTATGTATATATATATATATTATATATATATATATATTATATATATATATATATATATATATGTATATATGTATATAATATATATATATATATATGTATTATATATATATATATATATATATATATATATAATATATATATATATAATATATATATATATATATATTATATATAATATATATATATATTGCTAGTATATATTATGGTTATATGTGTATGAGTGGTTGTACGTTGTGTTTTTTGTGTGTGTGTACGTGTTTTTTTTTTGTGTTTTTTTTTGTCAGCTGATGAATTAACAGTTCAAATTTGACCTCTGCAAGGTTTTTTTCTGTTCTTTTGTACCAATTACATTTTATTCGAATATATGTTTATCTTATTCAATGAAAATATTACGGTTATTTTTTACTGGATAATTCAAAAATCTTAATTTCCTTTTTTCTTAAGCCTATTACACATTTTTTTTTGTAAAGGAAAAGAAAAATATTCTTTTAGGCCGGGAAATATATTCAAAATATCAAAGATTACATTAGCTGAATAAAAATGAGTAGAAAAGTAATAATAGTTTTATTAATATTTCAAGCATTTGGATTCTTTAACAGCTGTAAGCGCAGACACTCAGGTACACTCTCCAAATATGTACATGTACGTATTCAGGCGCGTACAGACATGGTCGCGTGTACAGGATCATAGACAGCTGCGCATGTAGACAGACAGACATACACAAACACTCAGACACAGACACTCAGATACACACACACATACACAAGCACATATACACATACACAAACACACACACACAAACACACACACGCATTATGTGTTATATATATTCCTTGAAAGTTTGCATAATTCACTGCAAACAATGGAAGTGATTTTGTTATTTTAACTAAAAACTGCTTTTATTTTGTTGTTTGGTTTTCAAAGTCCTCGATCATCTCATTTTCTTCTATTTTCTTGTCTGTTTCCTCTTTATTTTTGTTTGTTTTTCTCTATTGTTCTTTTTTTTTTCTTTCCTATGTTCTTTTCCTTCTTCCATCTTTCGTTTATTTTCTCTCGTCTTTTTCTTGTTCTGTTTTTCTCTTCTGTTGTTCTTTCATTTCTTCTCCTCTTTTTCACTTGTTTTCTTTCTCTTCTTCCCCGTTCTTCTTTCCCGAAATCATCTTCCTCTTTCGTTCCCTCCTTCTCTGTCTCTCCTCTTCCTTCTCTTTTTTCTCCATTTTTTCTTCCTTCTCTCCTTCTCTTTTTCTTTTCTCCCTCTCAATGCTTCTCTTTATCTCTCTCCCTCCCTTTCCTCTTCCTGCTTTTTAACTCCTCTTTTTCTTCCTTTTCACCTCCTCCTTCCTCTCTCCTTTCATCCTTTCTTCCCTTTCCCTCTCCTTCTCTTCTACCTTCTCCTCTCCTTTCTATCTATTCTCCTTACATATCATCACCCTTTCTCTTTACCTTTTTATTATCTATTTTCTCTCCCTTCCCCTCCCCTTCTCTTTTGAATTCATCCCCCCTCCTCTTCTTATTTCCCTTCTACAACCTATTTTTTCTCTCTCCATTTACACCTCATCTATCTCTTTCCCTCTTTCTTTTTTTCTCTCTCTCTCCCTCTACACCCCGCCCTTTCCTTCTGTACCCACTTACTCTTCCTCCTTTTTATCTCCCTCCTCCGCCTCATTTTCTTACATTTTTTGTAATTTCCTTGTTTCGCTATTTTCCCCTCTCCCAAGTTTTTTTTCTCTCTACACCTCCTCTTCCTTTCCTCCCACCTTCTCCCCCTTTCTAATCCACCTTTTTCCTCATTTTCAATTTTTCTCTCCCCCTTTCCCACTTCCCTTTTTTCTACCCTTTCTCCCCTCCTCGTCTTTCCTTTTCCCCTTTTTTCTCCCCTCTCCCACCTCGCTTCTAATCACCCCTCTTTCCTCCTTTTCAATTTTTCTCTCTATCCTTCCCTTCCCCTCCTTCCCCTCCTTTTCGGTTTCTGAAACCACCTCTTTTCCCCACTTTTGAATCCCCCTCTCCCTTTCCTCTCGCCCCCCCCCTCTTTTCTTCTCGCCCCCCCCCCCCCTCCCTCATTATTTTTTTTTTTCAGTTCCCCTCTCCTCCCTTCTCAATTCCCACCTTTCCTTTCCCTTCACTCATTCAGTTTTCATCTTCCTCCCTCCCCTCCTCCCTCCCCCTCCCCCTCCCCTCCTTCCCTACCCATCCCCCCTTGTCTCCCTTCCTCCCCCTCCTTCACTCATTTTTTTCAGTTTCTCTCTCTCCTCCCCTTCCCTATTCTCCCTTCTCCTCCCCCTCCTCTTCCCTCCCTCAAAACTCCAAATTTTTCTTGTCCTTTCCCTTCTCCCTCCCTCACTCTCCTCCTCCTCCTCCCCTCCCTCTCCTCTCACTCTCCCCTTTCCCCTCTCCTCCCCTCCCCCCCTTCCTCCCCTTCTCCTCCCCTCCCATTCCCCCCCCCCCTCCCCCCCTTACCTCCCCTTACTCCCCTTCTCTCCCCTTCCTCCCCTTCCCCCTTCCCATTCCCTCCATCCAACTCCCTTCACTCGAAATTATGCGCATTGAACCTCAACGCGTAGTTGTTCGGCCGGACCTCGACGGTGACGTCATCGAGCACCAGCCAGGTCTCCCCGTTCAGCCAGCGGATCGTCTTGGCGTCCCGGTCATTCGAGGTCGGGAACGGGGCGGTCAGCGTCGTGTAGTGGCAGGCGTTGAACCACCAGCCGCCGCCGTTGTTGATGGCGCAGCTGCCCTTGTCCCAGTTGTCGTGGTCGCGGTCCCAGGTGCTGAAGGAGCGGCCGTGGTGCTTGGACTTGAAGGCGTCCTGGGAGATGTTGCCCGAGAAGCCGTCGACGACCAGGCGGAACAGGTGGCCCTCGTCCTCGACTCTGGGAGGGGGAGGGAGGGGGTTAGATAGAGGAGGGGGTTGAGTGTGTGTTATGTATACATATACTATATATATATATATATATATAATATATATATATAATATATATACGATATATATAATATATATATATATATATATATATATATTATGGTAGGATATGTTATATTATGTATGATAAGTATATATATATATTATATAATATATATGTATATAATATATATATATATATATATATAATATATAATATATATATATAAACATTTTTTAATATTATGAATATGTATATATATATGCTATATATATATATATATATATATATATATATATATATTATATATATATATATATATATATATATATATCTGTATATATATTTACATATATAAAGGCAAACAATAACAAAGATATTAAAACACAAAAAACAAAAACAAACCCTCATTTCGATGTCGTGGGATAGTGAATCTTTATTCATTTATCTATTTATCTATTCATTCAATCTATCTATTACACATGAAAAAAACTAAAAAAAAAAAAAAATGAAGACAAAAAAAATACATTTGTCTATCTATTCACTATATAATATCTATTACACATGAAACCTCAAAAAATAAGGGCAAAAAAATCTAAAAAAAAAAAAAAAAACACGAAACAAAAACAAAACAAAACAAACAAAACAAAACACAAAACTCACAAAAAAAAAACACTCACCTAAAAGTATTATAATGCGCCTCAAAGACCCCCTGCTCGATGTCCCGGATGAGGAACCTGAGCTCGTACGGCTGCCGGTACGTGAGGGCGTGGAGGGCGTCGAGGCTGAACCACCACTCGCCCTCGCCCGGGTTGCCGAAGCCCTGGGTGTAGTCGTCCCAGGTCCTGTCGTGGAGGGAGAAGGGGAAAAGGGGAGTGAGTGAGGTGAGAGGGAGGGAGGGGAAAGGGGGTGACGGGGGAGGGGTGAGAGGGAGGGTGGGGGAGGGGGGTGAGGGGAGGAGGGGAGGAGGTGAGGGGATAGGGGAGGTGGGAGGGGGACGGAGAAGGGGGTAGGAAAGGAGGGGAGGGGGATAAGGAGGGGAGGGAGATAGGGAGGGGTGAGATGGGGAGGGGGTGTGAGGGGGTAGGAAATGAGGGGAAGGGGATAAGGAGGGGAGGGAGATAGGAAGAGCGGAAGGGGGGATAGGCGGAGAGGGGTGAAGGGAATAAGAGAGGGGGAGGGGGGGTTGGTGGAGTGGGAGGGGAGTAAGGGAGGAGAGGAAGGGGAGTGAGGAGAGGGGAGGGGTGAAGTGAGAGAGGGGGATAGGAGAGGTGGGAAGGGGGATAGGAGGAGAGGGAGGAGGGGTGAGAGGGATAGAAGGAGAGGGGGAAAGGGGGATAGGGTGGAGAGAGGGGGAGGGGAGTTAGGAAGGAGGAAGGGTGTGAGGGAGAGAGATAGGAAGGGGGAGGGTTAGGATTAGAAGGAGGATAGGAGAGGGGGGAGGAGCGGATAGGGAGGAAGGGGGAGGAGAAAGGGGGGAGGGAATAGGGAGAGAGAGAGAGAGAGAGAGAGAGAGAAGAGAGAGAAGAGAAGAGGAGAGAGAGAGAGAGAGAGAGAGAGAGAAGAGAGAGAGAGAGAGGTAAGGGAAACAGGAAGAATGAAGGCCACTTTCATACCAAGTTCACACATTGCACGTAACAAATGACACATGGCACGATTTCAGACCAAGGCTACACGTGGCATGTGTCACTCTTGTTTACAAATTGGCATCATCAGAGTTGACGATGTTATGGTTGTGCTTAGTCCTAATTAATCTTGTGACAATTATCTATCTATTACTTTGGAAGGAATAAGTAAATATTTTTGGGGGATAAAATAAGGCAAATTTATTCCAATATCCTGAAAATACTTGTGAAGAAAAATGTTTTCATAATTCTATCACCGAGGGTATTTTCATTGTACTCTGGTGATGTACCATATGAACAATTTTATTTCCAACAGTTTGTAATAAATTATGTTGATTAGATCATCGTCTTGGAAAGGCATATGCTCGTGCAGCGAGAGAAGGGGAAGGCTAGATCAGTAGCATTCTCGAGGAAGTGTCATGCCGTCTGATTTTTTATTTTTTTTTTTTTTTTTTGTGTTGGGGGTTGGGCGGGG